CTCAGAGTGGTCTCTTTTCAAGATGTTCTCTCGGACCCTGACAGAAGCTTGTCCGCTGGCCTCCTCCAGTAAAATCTACATCGACATCACAGACGACCCTCAGGTTTGACTCCCACACGATACGCTATAATCCACTCTAAATGATAAGTTGTTTCCCTCAATGTAAACTTCACAGAAAGCAGGTTAGTTTTACTGAACTGTCAAAGAAGTACAAAGGAAGAGATATTTAAAGGTTTCCTTTGGGGTATTGTGTTACCTTCAGTAGCGCTTTGGAGCTGTTTATTTATGAGCTGGCCAAGATATGCTGCAATGCGCCAACAAAGGCAGTGAAGAAGAAGACAGCTAGCAAGTAAACATGGATAAAAACAACGCAGGATTTAAAACACTATAAAAACGACTTTGCAAATGTTTATTGAGGATGTAAATGCGTTCAAAGTATTTGTTAGAGCTCAAGGATGTGTATTGAGAGGTGCAACGTAAGATCAATTCTATGTCATTCTGCAGGGCGAACAGCTTGAGGTGAGCCCAGCCACTCACTTGCTGAGCCAGGCGATGGTGCTGGGGGACAGACGAACCTTCTCCGTCTACGATCTCACCCAACAAATCACCTTTGGCACCGTGCGCTCCCTTAACCTGCTGATCCGCTGGAAATCCAGTGAGGGTGAGTGACAGAGCGTGACACAGCTTTGTGTAAGAGGCTGGACATGCAGTAGGGTAATTATTCAATGCAACAAGAAGAACTATAAAGGAGTTAATTAAAAAAAACGTGTCTGTTCCTTTGCAACCGGTTCTCTGTTTTGGGACAGAAAGTCCCAACAAGCAGCAGCTGAAGTGGTTTCAACTTGTGACCGTTTCTAAAAACATTTTTTAATGCCAAATAAGAAAACGCTACTTGTCTCTGAGATTTTTCATAAATTTTATTCTCCAACTCTGCTAATTTTCAAATTGAAACACTACCTGTGTTTTTATTGTAGTATTCATTGTCTCTGCTGCGATGTTTCCCTCGTGGTCGTCCATTAAATCTCCTTGTCTCATAATTGCGGCCTGCAGGAGACATGCTGCGCCCCCTGCTCCACGCTGAGCGTTACGTGGCTGGTTACGGGCTGCAGACGGGAGAGATTCACACGCTGATGTACAACAACCACCCCTACAGGTCTTTCCCTGTGCTGCTGCTGGAATCTGTGCCTTGGTACCTCCGTCTCTACATCCACACCCTCACTGTCACCAGCAAGGGAAAGGACAACAAGCCCAGTGAGTCACTTTAGAAAGCTGAGAGGGATCTGTGTGCACACAAAATTGCTCTCGGGTTCTGATTGTAATTAACAATTACAAATGTGCCAAATGCTGAAACCGTTTGTATTTATTTGATAACTGAATGAAAGCCACTCACAACTGGGTGCATTTAGAGATTATAAAAATCAGATCAGCCTTATACAAAGGGCATATGTCAGATGAGACAATGTAACATTTTAGTTTTAGATGCTACCTTCACTACATGCACAGCATAATAAATGCACAAAAACTCTCAATTCCCCTCAAAACGTGTTAAAACCAACAGGAGAAATGAGATCAAATATCATACACACACACACACACACACACACACCAAGTTAGTTTGCATTGTTGTAAAGTTTTGTTTTTTTAACAATTCCATCAACAATCACATGGTACGTGATCGTCTTGCAATTATTTGGGTAATTTGTTGGCAAATGCTGCTGTAAACACAAGAAAAAGCTGATTTTCAGTGTTTGCATTCAAATGTATTGAAAAGCATTTTCAGGAAAGAAGACTAATGTCCTACTATTGTTCTCCTACTAGATGATATCTACTGATTTCATTGTTTATGATGACATTCCACAGTGTTTGTGTGTTTTTGCCATAAACATTAACTCTAGACAGATGGGGCAAATTATTGCATTAGCTACATACTGTAAGTTATTAGTTTCTCTACAGGAATCGTATGGAATTCCATGCAGGTGCGACTTTTCACCAGAAGGAGGAGAACTTGAGTCATACTTTTTCATGAAAGCTGTAGTGGAAATATATAGTGTGTGTGTGTGTGTGTATGTATGTATGTGTGTGTATATATCTATCTATCTATCTATATATTTTTAGATGATTATTATGTATGGAGTATGCTACACAGGGCTATGGATAAACATTAGAATAGTGTGTCAATGGTCACTCATGCTTTTCTCCCTCCCCCAGGCTACATCCACTATGAGCCGTCTAAGGACCGCCTGAGGCCCCACCTGCTGGAGATGCTGGTCCAGCTTCCTCCCAACTCGGTCACTGAGGTCACGGTGCAGTTTGAGAGGGCTCTGCTCAAGTGGACTGAATACACACCTGATCCCAACCACGGCTTCTATGTCGGGTATGCAGCGTGTAGAGTTGTTCTCAAAAAGCGATTTACAGAGGTTGCTGAAAGAAGAAGCAGCACAGATGTTGCTTCTCACGTGTCCTCACAAGTGGTGGATGTTGTATGATTTTGAGTGGCGTAAGAGTGGATGGTTTGTATTTATTGTTCTGTTTCTGCAACATTCAGGTCTTCAGTGATCAGCTCTCTTGTACCAAGCATCGTCGCCATGAACACAAACAGCACACGGGAACAGCCTCTTTTCAGCAGCTTGTAAGTATATAGTTGTTTGTTTGTTTTTCTGTTGTTGCTACTCATTCATGTGTTGTTTGAGTTCTTATAGAGAAACGCATCAGAGTCAAATGTTAAAATGTCTAATCTCCTTCCAGTTTTCCCTGTAAAGAGGAGTCCAGCTACTTTATGCGTGTCTACACAGAGCCTCTGCTGGTCAACCTGCCAACCCCAGACTTCAGCATGCCTTATAATGTCATCTGCCTGACCTGCACTGTGGTGGCTGTGGGCTACGGCTCCCTCTACAACCTACTGACCCGGAGCTTCCAGATAGAGGAGCCCAGCCCGGGATTGGCCAAGCGGATAGCCAACATCATCCGCAAGATGAGGGGCGTGCCGCCACTCTGAAACATAGATGCCAACTGGCTCTACTTTTAGAAAGGAAGTTTTCCTTCTGGTGAAACCACTGGCTAACATGTGATATTCAGGGAAGAACTGAGTCGAGCACTGGTTTGAATGTTTTTTTTTCTAACGGTCAACTTGAAGGTTTTCTTTACAAATGGAAGAAAACAAATCATTCTTATGAACATAAATGTATTCAGGATCATTTCCTGCTGACTAAGGACAAGAAAAAACTGACATTTCTCTCCTTGGATGGAAAGCAAGAGCTTTGTTATTGTTTTACAAGGAACCAAAGCTGTGCAGTTTGCTACTATGGTTACTGCATCAGTGTTTTGGTTTGATTGTTTTTTTTTTTTTGGATGTGTGAAGCCATAACTCCATTACATCATAATGTAGCCTCAATGTCTCTGAGACATTTTGTTCCTATGAGTGCTAAAATGATGTTTCTACAAATATGAGACTAATGGCCTTACACCGCATTACAAAGCCTCAGAGCTCCGATGTTCTCATACAGCGTTCCTGACCTGTTGATTTATATCTCCCTGCTAGGAAAGATCAAATAAAATCGCCTTTTAAGTCGATTACTAAGTCACAATGTCATATTTCCTTAAACCGTATGACAGGGCATCAAATAACTTTCCTTTGTCCAACCGGAAATGAACACAGCGACAAAGTCTAACTATGGGACATCCATTGGTATGTCCTCTATATTTAATAGTTCTGATTCATTCGTCTTATCCGACATGTTTTATAGTAATATACGAGAAAGAAGACATAGCCACAAAAATACTGAAAAGTTACCAAAACCATATTTGTAAATTTGTTTTGAGCAAATGCATTATTTGTGTGGAACTATTTGTTCTAAAGAAAATGCACAGCCCTCTTACCAAACATTTATTTTGCACTTGTTGGTTGTTGGATGCATGCTTGAATGTTTAATACGATTGTCTGCGGATCTCTTCGTGAGTAATTGCCTGTAGTTTGTTGGGTTGTTAACACATTCACTCATCCGTTCAATGCGGTTTCATAGTGTCTTATAGCGAATAGAAGTTTGTCACTCTGGAAAATATTTTAGTCGACCATTAAATACTACCATGTATTTGTATGTTAATCTTTTTGTTATGTTTGTCTGCCTCCAAGTCCGTTATGCGTCACTTGATGGGAAAAAGTGTGCAGAATGTGAATGTTTGAAGCGTTACTGTGTGTGTGTGTGTGTGTGTGTGTGTGTGTGTGTGTGTGTGTGTGT